GCAGGGCCACCATATAGGAGAACAACCAAAAGCCCTGTAGTTTCAGGTTGTTTGCTCTTTAGGGAAGAGAAGGACATTGTAGATGTATCTGAAAAATGCACCTACTTGAGAATGAAGACATTAAAAAGTCTAGCTTTAATGAGAAAAAAACAACCTCACCAAGAAATTCCACTGGGACATTACTTCATAATTGAGTTAGATGCAGATTCTCAGATTGGCTGGAAGGGAAAGACTGACCAGGTAGAAGAGCTCTTCCCATTTCCAAAATGCAAGGGGGGAAACATTTCTTCTAAGCTAAATAAAACCAGCTTCTTGACAGCTTTGATCCTACCAGAACACTTCCTCAGTCATGTCCCTTAGCAGCGTTTCACATCAGTTTGCCTCACTGGGAAGAATTTCTACATAGTCATTGTCATGTTTACCCCTTCACAGCTACCCATACAAGCAAAGAACATGCAGCCACCACCACTGGGAGTAATTAGGCTGCTGAACTGGTTTGCACCTTCATGCCTGTCCAGGGCTGTCACGGGAGGGCTGCACACCCTGTGGACTGCCCCCACCTGTGACTAAGCAGCACCTTGAAGAATGGCCTGAGATCATAAAATCACAGAATGTTAAGGGTTGGAAGGGACCTTCGAGGTCACGTAGTCCCAACCCTACTGGGAGGCAGAGACACCTCCCACTAGACCAGGTTGCTCAAGGCCTTATCCAATCTGGCTTTGAAAACTGCCAGACTTGGGTCATCGACAACCTCCCTGGGCAACTTGTTCCAGTGTCTCATCACCCTCACAGAAAAATAATTTCTTCCCAATGTTTAGCCTAAATTTCCCCTCTTTCAGTTTGAACTCATTACTCCTTGTTCTATCACTACAGTTCCTAACGAAGAGTTGCTCTCCAGCTTCCCTGTAGGCCCTTTCAGACAATGAAAGGCTGTTGCCAGGTCTCCACAAAACCTTCTCCAGGCTGAACAGCCCTGACTTTCTCAGCCTGTCTTCACAGGGGAGGTGCTCCATTACTCTTATCAACTTTGTGGCCTTGTTTGGACTTGCTCCAACAGTTCTAATTCCTTCTTATGTTGGAGACTCCACAGACAGATGCAGTACTCCACACAGGGTCACACCAGAGTGGAGCAGAAGGGCAGAATCACCTCCCTTGACCTGCTGGCCACACTGCTTTTGATGCAGCCCATGATTCAAAGGACACAGAGATCTCCTTTAAACCAGCATGAGCTCTACACGTCAAAGGACTTCCTTGAGTGAAGTATTAGGAGTCAGCTACAAACTCAACACTACTTGGAGCATACTTTTGGAGTGTATTTTTCCTACCGACCACCGGCTCCAAACCAACTCCTTTGATCTTTTATTTCGATCCTTTACTGGGCCTCCAGTTTCTAGATGTGTCTTGCCAGGATGCTGGGAGCACCCGAACGTAACCAAGCCGAAGCCCGAGCCCGTTAAGCCGGTCTGCCAGTCCCCACTTGGAGCGAGGGCAGGCTTCGAGCCCCTGGCTGTGCTTCCATGGAGAGGCGCTCCTCCGCACAGGGAAGGAACAAGTGTTTCTTGCTTCGAACTCAAGGGATCGAGACTCCTACCTTAAGTGGTCTCTGCCTCTCTGACGTCACTAACTGCATGACCTTAAAAAAAACCCCAATTCCTTGAGTTTTACAGCGATGGCAGCTCACTCTTCACGTACGACGCCCGCTGGAGCAGCACTAAGGACCGCCGAGCTCCCGCGGCGAATACAGGGCAGCTCTGCGGATCCCAGCCAGGCCTGCTCCCCGCACTGCCCGCCCCAGCCCGCTCCCACCCTGCCAGGAGCCCTTTAACAACGCAGACCCCAGGCCGCGCCGGGCCTGTGCGGGCAGGCAGGGGACAGGGGCTACGCCAGCAGGAGCCTCCCACCCTCGCGCCCCGCCGGCCCAGCCCGGCCCTGCTGTGAGGACAGGGGGCGAAGAGGACCCCCCGGCCCCGCGGTACCTCTCGGCATTGGGGATGACGACACCGCCCTCCTGCGAGTGGTTCCTGTTCAGCGCCATCTTCGCCCGGCCAGCCCCGCCCCTCACCCGGGGGCGACTGTGACGTCACTCCCGGCCCCGCCGCCCCGCCCCCAAACGCTGCCCCGCTGGCCCCGCCCCCCGTGCCGCGACGGGCGCGTGGCGGGCGCGAGACGGAAATAAGGCGGGCAGAGGAGGCGGATGAGGCGGTGCCGGGCTGGTTTAATGGCCGCGCCGGTTTAATGGCCGCGCCGGTTTGATGGCCGCGCCGGTTTGATGGCCGCCGGGGGGCGGTGGCATTGCCGGGGCCCGGCCCTGCGCACCGCGGCCGCCCCACGACGGACCGCACGTGACGAGTCGCGGGCACTGATGCCTTCGCGCAGCCCTGCTCGCTCTGCTCGCTCGCTCTGCTCAGCGTAACCGCGCCTGTCCGCCGTCGTCTTGGCCTCAGTGGAAGTTGTCCAGGATTTGCCATGTGCTTGGCAAAGTTTTTCCGGCGAACGGCGTGTGTGGTTGAGAGTTTGTGAGTCTCTGAACGCGCTGAGTGGGCACCTGTGGTATAAGGTTTCGACTCTATCCCTCCGTGATATCGTTCAGGGGATATTTCGGGGGAACAGCTGGCTTGCTGTGGTCATCCTGGAACTCAGCTGATGGCACACGATTCAGGCTTTTCCCAGCTTATCAATCGACAGAGACTTCTTCCCCACAGTATCTCCTGTTGTCGTGCAATGTGGGATTTTTTTTTTGAATTTGCCATTTGTAGACTTCCTGGTAGATACAGAGTTGTCAGTAGGATACTGGCATGACCAGATGGCAGTGAGGAATACCTGAGCTTGCGTTTGTCAGCGAGCTTTTACGGATCCTTTAGAAGTAGTCCATGATCTAACAAGAAATTACAGAGCAGAGCATAAAAACCACCTTATTACAAACAAATAAAAATTGCTAAACCTACAGGGTGAAACACACTGCCTTTTCCTTGCAATCTACATTACAGGAAAATATCTCTCTTCTGTTGTGTGAGTCTGCTTTGCTTGTTTTAAGCAGGGCAGCATTGTCTCTCTGCTTTAATTCTTGTTTGGGCCCAAAAGTCTTAGAAATTACCACAGTGCAGCCCAGGGCGATGAACACAGAACATGGCTTCGTGCTTCGGTGCTGTGAAGAAACAGCCCTGATGTCTTTGATGAGGATGTCTTTGATGGCCTTGGGCTGAGGGTGGCTCGTTGTGTGGCAGGATGGGGAGCAGCGTGGCAGGATGGTTTCTGCAGGGTCCATGGTACGGCTGCTGGCACTGGTGACAAGGCTCTTGTTTCTTGCAGGCCTGAGGAGGCCTGGTGCAGGGGGAAGGGGGCTGCATGGCTATGTGGACACACTGCATACAGGAACACCGGGAGCTGTGAACGTGGGTGGTGAAAGCACTACGGGGAGCCGGTATGGCCCCTGCATCCTAGTGGTGCTGAGCATGGCTGATTTGCATGGACAGTTGAGAGTGAGAGTGAAGACACCTTTGCTTTGCAGTGACAGCACCAGAGAAAGCCACAAGATGGATATGTGCTCTTAGACAGCTTTGCTAAGGCTTGGAGCACCCTGTTTCCAGCCTTGGCCCCTGTACCGCTCTGTCAAGCAGCCTTGGGCTTGACTTGAGTCCCCCTCCGCTGCTCATTTGCTGTTCCCTCTTCCTCCCTCCCTCATCAGGCATTCCAGCCTCCATCCCAAACCAACCTCACTCCCCCTTACTCACAGTGCTGCCATCCCACACCATGGCATTCTGCCCGTGCATTTTAAGTTGTCTCCTGGAGAGGACAACCCCTGTCAGCCATGTGATGTGCAGACACTGCCAAACTCAGGACATCTCTGATCTTCTCCCCCCTCTCCCTTCTGCCCAAGACAGACCCAACTTTCCACTTCACTCAGGGACATCCAGAAAACAGCTCACATCAGCTAGACACAGGCATGTAGTCTTCAGTAAAGCTGTGCCTTTTTCTACTCTGGGGAAGGTAAAATGACAGCTCCTCAACAGGGCACAAAAGTACATTATTAAGAAGATATGAGAGCTTGGGAGAGGGAGGAAACAACCTGGAGAAGAGGAATATTCAAGTTCTTGGAGAAATGAAGGAGAGACAGAAAGGGTAAAGAGCAGACAAAGTGAGATAGGGAAAGAAAGGAAGGAAGAAAGCTATAGAGGGCTAAAAGGGAATGAGAATAAAAGCACAGGAGTTGAGGAAGACACAGGACAGTAGGAGGACAGAGGAACAGCCCTGAGACTGCTGCAATAACAAGTGCAGCCATATCTGAGGAAGAGGTATCTCTTGCGTCTCCACCATCAATGAAGACCCAGGGAGACACCCTGGCCCAGTGCTTCTCAATCCATAGCTCTTCGTACTCCTCCCAAGATCCTCAAGGCCCTGTGCCGAGTGGAGCTGTCCCTGTGGGAGCTTCCAGCAGGGATCCCCCGTGTCACTATCTTTCCTGCACTCCCACAGCAGAGGGGCCATGTTGGGGAAAGATCAGAGTAAGGTTGCCTGGGGTGTGCTCACTGCTGGTGGAGAGACCACTGCAATGGGGGATTGCAGCAATGGGATGGGGTGACCCCAGGAGGTGAGGTGACCCCAGGACAGCTTGGTCTGATCTGCACAGAGTCAAATGCCTGTGACACAAGCATGGCTTTTGACTTTAGCACTGGGCAGGGCAAATGCACCCTCTGCAATGGGCACATATTCTTTTCCTCTGGGTTTTGCTTCTTTTCGAAAACACATATATTTTCCCCAAGTACTTTGATGCTTCTCAAATAGATGCTACAGCCCAAGAACTAATTTGTCTCCTCCCACCAATCACTTGCTCTGAACCATAAAACGTGTCAGTCTTCTCTTACCTCTCCACTTCCAAAGTGCCATTTCCCCTTGGGAAGACACAGGGAAGACACAGCAAGAAATGGGGATAAAATGCCAGGCCACCATGCCCTCAGAGCAACCAGCTGCCTTTACACCCATGGAGGATCCAAGAGAAATCTCTGCTATGTCTCTTGAAAACTCTGCATGCACTGACTTCGCCATCTCTCCTGGAGTCTCTCCTTGCCATGTCTCCAAGTGATAAAAACAGGACCACAGCATGCCCCACACCTCCCACCTCCAATATCCATGCGCCCAGAAATCCTCCCTCCCAACCCTATTTGCCCCAAGCAAGACACACAGCTGAGACACAGAAAAGAGAGAAGGGAAGATGACAGACAGTCCACTGTGCAAAAAACAAACTGAGAATGAGGACACTCTGGGAAGGGTGGGGGAGATGCCCTTGGTCCCTCTCTGGCACACAGGTGGGCACATGCACGCCTGCACACACTCACACTTGCATCCTCTCACGCCCACGGAGGATGTGCCACATGCTTCAGAGACAGGTCCATGGCAGAGTCAAGGACAGCAGGGGTGGGATGTCATATCCAGAGACACTGGGTGATAGCGGAGAGGAGGATCATTCACAGGTTACTTTCATGGTTTTCCTCTGTCTCAACAGTCATGGGGGGCAGCCCTCCATTGTCATTCAGCCGTTTGGCCCTATAGGTCTCATAGTGGATGTTGTGGGTCACTTCTTTTAGGTCCTGAAGGTGGGTCCTGCAGGGGACAAAGTGAGGTGGGAAACAGGGTATGATAACCAATATCAGCACAGTCAGTATTAATTTTCTGATGATAATTTTATTCCCTGAGATAAATGGGAGATTTTTTCAGTCAGTCTTGCTAATATCATACCCCTCTTTCTGCATGGTTGGCACAGGTGCCATCATACATAACGGAGCTGGATTATCAACATTCAAGGGCACACATGCAGGATGCAGGATACAGGCTGAATTTCCTGGCTGTGCTTGGCAGTGCCCTGCCCCTCTCACACCCGTGCCACCAGGACAGCTACTGGCCATCCTGGTGTGTCAGAGCAGACAGGAACTTATCAGAAGCAGTGGTGAGACAAGGAAGCATCAGGAGGGTGTATCAGGCCCACTGCAGACCATAACCTGCAGAACACTGCTGTGAGCATCATCTCTAACCTTCATAGAAAGCCTGTGGGCTTGGATTGCTATATGCTTTGTGATGATCTCTTGGGTAGGCTGTTTTTACTGGAAGACTTGGGGAATGCATTTCTGCTGCTGAAGGTATCACAGAACAAAAAGAGGGCAGTAGGGTGATGTCAAAGCATTGTACCTGGCCAAGTGTCTTGATAGCACCATACCCACAAGTGGAATGAGCCACAGGCCTCTGGATTTGAACTTTGTTTCCTTTATTTTCTTATTTTATTTATAGGGAATAGAGGGAATAGAGGTGACCCTGGATCTGCAGCTCTCCTACAGAATCTGGGGCAGATATCACTTATACTGAGGCAACTTCATGAAACAGAGTAGAAATAAGACAAGATAATGAAAGCTGAATGAAATATGGAGCTTTTCACTTCCAGTTCATATGTTCCAGCACATCCTTCAACCTGGAAGGACATGTGGTCTACGAGGGGATAGTGACCTCTTGATCACTGACCTCTTTCCAGCAACAAATAGAAGGTTTTACAACCTTAATGGGATATAGGGGATGTGGTAGTACTCTGTTTTTCTCCAAGTGTCCTGCCCATACATGAAAACTAGCACCTACTTGACATAGTGGTCATGTCTCTAAGAGAGGCACTGGAGTATCTACCCCTTAACTCAATCCAACCCTACCCCACATATGCTTCCACTGCCTGAAATGTACTCTATTCTCCTTTCCATTGGGGCTATTTCACTCTGAGTGGATCTCAGGAAGACTCATGGCTAATCAAGAGCAAACTAGTGCATGATCATGGCCTTACCTGATGACAAAATCTCGAAGTAGAGCAAATTCACAGTGAGAGAGGTTTTCCACTGAAAAGAAAGCAAGCAGTTGCGTTACCTTTGATTTTTTTTCAACAACCCCTTTGTGGTTACAGAGCATGGGAAAGTCACTGCCATGGGGCAGGTTCCAGGTGGGTAGAACCTGCATACTTCAGAAAGGACAAACAGTTGTCTGAACACCACACTGTTGAGCAATGAGGAGACATGAAGAGATGCTGGGCAGTCACACATGAATTTTGTGACTGAATATTTGAAAACCAAGGCAACCTCAGGAGCTTAGTTTCACACACTGTGGTGTTCAGAGCGGCTCCAGCTTCTGCCATGTGGTGGTAGTGGCACTGCATTGACCATGGCAGTTTCCTTCTGGCACAGCTATTTGAGAATTCTCCTCCTGTTTTGTTTCAAAAAGTTTATCACAAATGGGATGGGAAGGTATCCATGGGACATGTTATCTGGACTGTTGTCTATTACTGTGACCTGCAGACATATTTTCAGCTCCCAGAAGCAAGTGGGGTTTTTTACCTTCAATGATTCCCCAAGGTGTTTTCCTGCCCAGGACTCTTTTGCCATTCACTTGGTACTCCTTGTCGCTGCCCACTACTGCAAAGGGCATGCTTTCCTGCTGGGGAGAGACACGTGGAAAGACCTATTGAACCCACTCCATAGAGCAGCACCACCACTGTTCCCCATCCACCTTTCCTCCTCTCAGCTCAACAAACATAAGGCCTTCTCCAAGGCAAGAGATTCTCCCGAGCAAAACTTTACTGGCTGTCCTCTTCACCCGTTAGTGCTATCCCTAGCATTTTGGACCCTTGCTTTCCAGGTGTCCTTGCACCACCCCAAGCCTAGGGGGTAGCTTGCAGCAGTGCCAAGGGTTCTGGAGCAGGAGGCAGAGCTTTTCTGCATCCATCACCAGCATTTGTGAAGAGGGAGATGACCAGAGAAGAAGTACCTTGGTATTACCAGGGGAGGGTCTGTCAGACCAGGGCTGCTCATATGGATAGTTTGAGGTGAGTATTTCTCACCAAGTTTGTAGTTCTTCACAAGAGAAAAAGGAGAGGACTCAAAATAATCCTCCCCAGTAAGACACAGGAAAATTCAACAAGTTTAATGGCTGAAATGGCTGTACCAAGGAAGCCCAGAAATGGAGTAGGGATGCAGCTTTACTGGGAAGTGGGACACTAGGTGAGGCTATTGGGGACCCACATATCTCTAAGCACAGAGAGAAACTGTCTGTTTCCAGAGCACAGGGTACAGGAGACCCTGCTATCCATAAGGTTGTACAGATGTTCATAGATTTATGCAGCTTTATGGATATCCCTGGGCCTGGGAAGAGACTGCAGTTACCACAGGAATGGAGATTAAAAAGCAGTTTATTTACTATGTGTGAGGGCAATGGTGCTGAGTGCAGAACAAAATGTGGTGCCCTCCTCATTCCCCCTTCCCCTCTCACAATAAAATGTTTCATACCCTGATTTTGTCGTTCTCTGTTTTATCCTCCAAGTCCTCATCAAATTCTTTCTGGGGATAAAACTCGATCCCATTTACTTCGAGTTCTTTGCGCACCTAAGCGGAGAGACATTTTGCAGCATAAAGCAGCACAAACCTGAAGGGAAGGCAGTTGAGATGGCCAAGCAAACACATCTGGGACATCCTTCCAGTGGGCAGGGGCTGGAGGGATTGTCCCAAGGAAGTGCACAGCAAAGTGCACACGTCAGCAATGATGAGTCTTTCTTCCCGACCCCAGTTACATGTCTGGCTCTCCATTCCCGTAACAGAATGTATCAGAAGATGTCACAGGAATACACACATTTCTTCCTTCTCTAAAGATGCCCTCAGAGCTATAAACAGCTGCATCTTGAGGACTTATCCACCCACCCAGTGCTGGACTCTGCATGCACTGGGGACTGCACTGCAATCCCAGGAAGGATACCACTCATTTCTCCCACCTCCAAGCCAGGGCAGGGAAGGATCCCGTGCAGGAGAGGAGATACTCACTCTTTGTTTGAATTCAGTCTTTTCCTCCAAGGTCATGGTGTCAGCCTTGGCAATAACTGGGATGATGTTCACTACCTTGCTGAGATGTTTCATGAACTCCAGGTCCAAAGGCCGCAAGCTGCAGCCCAAGAGGGAACAACATGGAAGGGGTCACTTTACCCTCCTTGCTTTTCATCCTATTGACTCTCTCAGCATCAGGGCATCAGTGAACCCTCCCTTGTACATACTCTGCTTGCTGTCACCATGCTCTCATCTCCTTCTTCCCATCCATCTTGCCCTCTCCCAAAAAACACAGTGGCATTTCTCCTGCTCTTGTTATCCTAGACCCTTTCAAGCCCCACAGCACCTGAAGTTAAGCTAAACAGTGGCCAGCTCTGCTGGCAGGATCCCCAGATCCATGTCTGAAATGGAGCAGTGTAGGGTATATATCTGGCACAGAGACACCAAGGGCTTGAGGAAGAATGAGGGACTGTGTACATACGAGTGGCCTGTAGGGGAGATGAAGTAGAGGCAGCAGTGCACTCGTGTGTCTGGAATTCGTTTCTTCCTTGCAATATTCACCTCCTCTTTCAAAAATTTTTCATATTGCTCATTGATGTATTTCTCAATAGGCTCCCAGCTGTTAAAGTGGGAGAGAGAGATGAATAGACAGGTACAAATCTCTTCATATTCCTGCCTACAGTCTTCCCAGCTCTGACAGCAGCAAAGCAGGCTCAGGCATAAAAAGCATCCACCTCAAGCATCTTGCTATCAGCAGAGATGTTTAGAGTTTCTGCAGCTGGGCACAGAAATAAGCATTCACCACGTAAAGGGTACATACCCCCAAGCATGCACACAGACCCATGGTGTTCACAATCTCATGGCTCCACTACCAGCCCCCTGAGTGCAGTAGGATCCCAGATGCTTTCCAGGGCCCAGTAGATGAGACTCACTTCATATACTATCTTTATTCCAGACCTTCCTGAGACACAAGGCCTTGACCTTGTAGAACTCACCAGTTCTCATTGTTGATCTGGTCCCCAAATCCTGGTGTGTCAATAACTGTGAGCTTCATTTTGACACCACCTTCTTCAATAACTGGGGAAGAAATTGCAAACAATCATATTCCTCCCTGGAGACTTGTTTTGTCATGAAACATGATTCTGTGTCCTACAAGGGAACAAGAGGGCTCTGGCCTCGTCCCTGCCCAGCAAGTATGACCAGACAAGGCTGGGTCATGCCTCAACAGTTATGACCCCCACTTGCATGTCTAACCCCAAATTTTGGTAACATCTGCACCAAAGCCACCTTACAACACACTGACACAGGAAAACGGATTTGTACTCAGTTTGTGGCCCAAAGGTAGTACCTACCTTACTTACACAAATTCTCCTCCCCTCTAATGCATCATCCTGAATCTGAGATGATGCTTGTTACCCTGTACCACTGTAGGAGCTGTACTGATGCTTTGCCATGAGGAGATGTGCTCTGCTGGGCTTGGGATGGGACCCATGAATGCAACTTGTGTAGATTATTAAGCATCTGCAGGTGGGAATGTCTTACAGCAAGGCTTAATCGACACATGCAGACTAATGTCTTAGCAGAAGAAAAATCTATAACTATTTTTCTACCCCTCACTTCAGGCTCTGGCATTAGTGGCATTGCTGTTTAAGAAAAGCCTTGTCTGGCTCTGAGGCCATCTAAAACTGTCCTTTAGCTTTCCATGGAGAAAGGGCTGCCTAATACCAAAGAACTATTTGCATAGACTACTGGGACCCTCTCCAAGACTGCGCTGAAGCATCAGTGTTGCTTCCACACCAGCCTGGTTCTTACCATGCCCAATGGCTTTGATCTCCACCGTCTTGGGGATCTTCTCCTCACGGTTCCAGCCTGAAGATTTGCGGCTCACCTGGGATTTGAAGAGGGTGTTCACCAACGTTGATTTTCCCAGTCCGCTCTGACCTGAGGATTGCAGAGAGGAAGCTTGTGACATTTGTCACAGGCTGGTGATGACAGCAGGCCCAGGGGATGGAGCCAGGCTGGCAGGGGAAGGGACTGTAGGTGTCTCCTTGCCTTGTGCAGGCTCTCCTTTCCCTCAGAGCAAATGCTGTCTGCTCCCTCATGCCCTCCCCACAGGGCTCGCTCTCCCACCTGGCCTCAGAGGACAGTCCCTGGCCATGGTTCCCAGTTCCTCATCTGGTCCCTGCCTACCTACAACCATGATGTTGAAGTCAAAACCTGTCTTCATGGTTTTCTTGCGCATCTGCTCAATGATGGTGTCAATACCGATGTAGCCCAGCAAGCTGGCGTTGATGCCCATGGGTTTCATCGGTACAACTGGTTTTTGTCGTGGCTCTGGGACCAGCTCAGACATGGCTGCTTCGTTTTTGTTCTCCACTGGTCCTGCATGGGAAGAAAGATTGAAAAATTGTCAACGAGGTGTAAAACAACCTCCCTTCTGACCTGTCACAGGGGCTGAGGGCAACTTTGAGCAATTTCAAGGCCTACTGAGGATGACTGAATGGCAAGATTTTAGGGGTAAGGCTCTTCATGGAGGAACATCTACTTCTATGCACGACTCCAGACGAGGAGGTGAAGCGGGCTTCATTGAGCATGCATTGATGGCTACTTCCACATATTGAGGGCTACTTCCAAACAGCAGGAACAGACCCAGCGAGCCTGGCTGGACTGCTAATCAGGTGCCCAAAGCTCTGTATGTATCTCCTCATTTTTGTCTCTCAGTTCTCCACAGGATCACCAGTGTTTTGCCACTCCAAGTTTACCATAAAATTTGCAATAGAACAGACTTTCAAGAACTATTGTGTGTCAAGTCCTGGCATTGAAACAGAGTTTGGGATGTACTGTGGGGACTTGTAAGCTTGGCCCTTGCCAGGGGCAGCTGCGTTACTGGCCGTGCTGGTCCTGTGCAGGCTGAGTTCCTCAGAGGAAGGCAGTGGTGGAAGCGAAAGCATGGCCATAATTTCTGTGCTTGCCTCCCACCCATAAACCAGTGGTTTTTGTCACGCTCAAGAAACTAATCATCATGATCAAAAAAATGATTATCTGCATCTTTCCTTCCTGACCTCTCCCTCCTCACTTCTTCCAAGTAAAACGAATAGGCAAAAAGAAAGGCCCTGAGGGTGTTCTAGCCTCTCTGACTCTTTTTTGGGTGATGGCACACATTGCTTAGGGCAGGCCTTGCCCATTTATCTCCATCTCTTGTCTCATTAGTGAGCAGCTGCATGCCACTGGGAGGAAGCCAGAGTTTGGGAGAGGGCTGGGCATTGAAGAAAAGCTATAATTGTTGAGGAAGGGAGGCGTGAGGGATGAATCTAGAAAAGAGGATGAAGGGGACGGGAATCAAATACCTTGCATATACAATCCAGCTGCAAACTAGAGCCTCTCCCACTCTAATTACTTGACTCCCCCACACTTTGTCTCATTAAGTGGTTATTTTTCCAGGACAGAGACAGTGTGTGTTTTTGCTTGGTAAGTACTCTGTTTTGGATGCCACTTCAGTTGAAGTATCTCACACTAAATTATCCCTTTCCATCATTTCAGCAGAGTTTTTTTCTCCTTTCAGCAGAATCCACTGGCTGCAGAGGACATGAGCAGCCAGGCAGGCAACTGCCATTTGGTGGGTGACACATGCCCCTCTTGGTGAGGAACATGAACACTGATGGCACCAATCCACAGTCCCTGTGACAGCTCAGCCAGGCCCGGCAGAGGCAGGATGGGGAGAGGTCAGAGAGATTTTGTTCAAGGACGGGTTAAGCTGCAGCAGGCTCCATGGCTAGCTGGGGACCCTGCCTGGCATTCCCACATCAGAGCTTCTGTGCAGACACAGGGCTGCTCTACATGGTGAAGATCGTACATTTTATATAAGCTGTAATATCCCACTATCATGTGCTAAGGAAAGACCTTGTGGAAGGGCCACCCTTGTCAGGGAGAAGGGTGCCTCCACCCAGTTCCTTCTACACTGCTTCGGAAGTCTTTGATTTTAAACTGGGAGAAGGGATCTTTCCTCTATGTGAGAGGATGGTAGCACAGCCACTCCTCCACAGCACTGTGGGTAACATCTGAAGGCTCTTGTATCAGCTCTGTTCCACCTTGCCCATACAGAAAAGGTCGGCAGGAGGATGGCCTCCCTACTGCTCTTCCCCACTGAGCAAGGGCACCCTGAGCTATCATCATCCTCTCCTGAAGCAGTGAGCAGCACCCTGGGGGGACCAGAGCACAAGATGGATCATTGGCTTGAACCAGGCTGGCAATTTGGAGCACCTCACACTGCCAGGCAGCTGCTGGAGGAGGCAGCCTGCCGAGCCGAGTGCTTCTCAGCTGCAATCCTCTCTTACACCCATCACAACTAGTCTGTGCCTTTCTTGCTGATGAAGCACCCCCTGAGGCTCCTGTTGTCTTTTTCCAGCTTTATCAAAGCTGGTGCCAGCCAGGAAAGCCCAGATTTTTCGTACAGCACAGGGGGCCAGGCCAGCCAGCTCTCCTGCACACTGCCCTTCACTCATTCTCTCCCAGGCTGCCCCACACCACCTGTATCATGGTCTAATGGCTGTGCCATGTCCCTCATCCTGCTGCCGCATCCACCAGCACACACCTCATACAGCCCTCCTGGGTTCCCACCTATCCCAAAGAGAGGGAGAAGAGAGAGACAGGTAATTATGAGAGCATGTGGGACAAGGGGCTGTGGCCCCAGTGAGGCACTTGTCTACTGCAGTAAGTGGGGCCAAATAAACCCTGGAGGGGTATAGGAACAGGTCGAGGTGAGAAGAAAGCCCAGCTGACCAGCTGCATGGGATGGGTGAGGACCTGGGCCATGTGGGCTGTGACCCCTTTGCTTCCTGGGTAGTAGCTTGTCCTCAGGGAATCTGTTGCCCTCTTCTTTATTCCTTCCACCCTCATTCTTGCACAGGAAGGATGAGGAAGGAGGGAAGTTGCTGGCAGCCTCAAGGCTCACTAAGAGGTTCATAACTCATCCCTCAATCTCACCAAGGGAAGCTTTGCCCAGAGCCAGCAGATGTTGCTGACTGCTGTGGACATCATGACATGTGGCCATCCCTTTGCAGCTGGAGCCAGATATTTCAGAGTCAGGTTCCTGAGTAGCTATATAAAACCCTGAGATGAGGAGAAAAGATCTCCAGAAGTCTCCTTAAATATATTTCCTGGATTTTATATCTAGACATCCAAGGTGGCAGGGTAAGCAACCTCCCTTTATCCTCTCAGTCATTTGCCTTCCTCTCTGTATGGGGTGCCTTTCCATTCGGTCTCAGTCAGGGAAGCCCCCATTTTGCAGACATTACCTAGGGGTTCAGCTTTCTGCACATGATTTTCCACCTCTTGATTCCCACAGATGAATCCAAGGAGCCAACTGAAGAACAACCTGCTAGGGAGGTCAGGGTGTGCAAAACAGGGACCAGAGCCATAAGAGGCACCCTGAGACAAGAAACGTGCCTTCCTGCTCTCCTGGGAGTGGCTGTTTTATATGCATTAAAGCTAATAGTTCTAGGAAGCCTCCTGAGCGCTCTGAGTGGCTGCTCAAGGGGTGGCATCATGTGTCCTGGGCACATCCCATAGCCCTTCCAGCTGTTCCCTGTAATGAATACATGATAGGGCACCAGAGCCAGTACAGCTGACAATGAACAGAGGGGTAGCCAAGGTTAACCACTTACATCCGCTGCTCACAGGGCCCCTTTTTTCTTTGCTGCTTTGTTCTACGTGCTAACAGAAGCTCATTTAAGAGGGTGGTTGCTGGCAATACCCCTGCTGCCCAGATCTCATAGTGGGTGGCCTGGGCTGGGCTGGACTGTCGAGGAATATTATCTGGCTCACAGGAGATGCTCCATTCGGCTCTGGAGCGAGGAGAGGTGCAGTGCAGCATTTGGGGCCAGGACAGGCAGGACCAGAAGCACACCAATTGCCCAGAGAGGTCCCCACAGTCCCAGCTAGCTCCTGCTTCTGACACCCATGATCCACCCCAAAACCTCTCCCTGGAAGGCCAGCATATGTGGCCGGCAGCAAACACCACTACTGCAGCTCACCCTTCATGTCTACCTCTGAGGTTCTCAGCAGCTGTCTGGGGGCAGAGGTGGCCCTACAGGTCCCTTAGGGGCTCAGGTAGTGGGGACTAACATCTATTGTGTTCTGATAACCCAGATACAGTCGCATCCCCTCCCCCTGCCTTTCCATCCTTTGTCTGAGTGGCAAGAGGGAGGGAGGACTGCAAACAGGGCTCACCACAAGCCAGCTTCCAGCAAAGAAAAGCTATTTAACCCCCACGTAACACATGGATGGCCTCACAGCAGCTCTCCTCCCATGCAGCACAAGGTTGTCTCACTCCCACTGGAAGTGATGATCCACACACTCATCTCACCCCAGCCCCTTCCACCCATGTGGCTCTGGACCCACAGTTCCACTGCCTGCAGACATGGAACAGGGAGGAGGGATGGGTTCAGAACCTGAAGTCGTCTGCCAGGAGCAGGCCCTCAACTGGTGATGGTGCCAGGTCCCTACAAAGGAAAGCAAGCAGCTGTTTGAGTAGCACAGCCTCCCTGGAGCTGGCAGGGATCAGGACCTGCTCCTTGCTTCAGATTTGCAGAGATTCTGGACTGAGCATCTCCCCACTGGAAAAATATCTTTCCCCCTCAGTTCCCATGATGACCCCAAGGCACTTCTTTCAGCTGTGCAGGGCAGTGGCTGAGCCGTAATGGCCGGATGCACTGCCTGGCCTCCAGGTATAGAACAGAGTCATTCTTCTTACCAGATCTTTTTGCCTGGCTTGAAGATCAACCCTCTGGGCTACCACAGCCTTCCCGGTAGCAACCTTCCTTACCCTCAGCACTCTGCAAAGGGCTTGGGCAGGAGCCCGGCTGCAGTGAAATCTAGGGCAGTGTGTGCCGAAGCCTCCCTGGAGATGCAGAAGCTGGAGGGGAAGGGACTGGGCACATCCCCAGCCCAGCTGCCGCAGCCCCAGCCCCAACGAGCAGCCCTCGGTGCCGCCCTCCAGCCCTGCAATCCTTACCCCATGGCCCGGATCACACCTGGGCGGCACAGGCGAGAGGATGCTGAGCACCCCTGGACCAGGGTACCCACACCACCGCAGCTGCCTCTCCCCCTGCCCTCATGCCTGCCGGCTCCTGCGCAGATGCCCAGGGAGCAGCACAGGACACCCCAGCTGCCCCCGCAGCGACTGCCTGTCATTGGCAAGGGACAAGCCAGGAGCCGAGCAGCTTGTGGGCTTTCCCCAGCCCTGGACCAACTGGGATTATCTGTTTCTTTCAGAGCAGTGCCTGGCGCCAGCTACTCCCCATCAGCACCACAACCAGCCCTGCTTCATACGAGACTGCTGCCACCAAAAGGAAAAAGACAGAGGAAAGTCAAAGCCGGGACCGATTTCCCCTGCTGCCCTTCGGGGTTATCCCTCCCCCGTGCCCAGAGCTGGGAAACGAGGGGGTACGGCGTAGGATGCCTGCACAAAAAGCCCCAGCGGCATTCCTCTGGCGCTGCCCAGCTCTGCCAAGCCCGGAGCATCCTACCTTTGAACATGAAGCTTCCTTTGTCTCCGAATCCTCTCGCAAGGGGGTGGGTCTCCCCCCACTTTTCTAGCCTGATGCTGATGAAGTAGTACGGTGGGCTACAAGGCTCTGCTCGCTTTTACCTTTCTCTTTCTTCCCTGTGTCCTGTTCTCCCCCACTCTCCTTCCCTTCCTTCTCCAGTGGCTATTTCAGCAGAGCGGGGATGCTGGTGCTGCTCCTGCTGCCATCGTCATGTGACCTGAATATTAAACATCTCCGCAAAATCTCCCCCCCGCGCACCCTCCCCTGGCTCCATCCTAGGCCCCCCGAATCCATCCCAGGCCCCTGCCGTCCTCCCTGCCCTGGGGAGGAGCATGGCCGTGGGGTTCGAGGGGCCACTGCCGATGGCCCCCCCCATATGTCCCAGGGGGCCCCCCCTTGCACACCCACCCCACACAGGCCTCTTCTTGCCCCTTTCCCTCCCAATTCCTCAGCGTTTACAGCATCTCTGCTTGTTTAGGGAGGGGCATATTTAACCCTTCACAGCTTAGTTCCAGCAGGACTGAGAAAGGACACTCTTTGTCCCTAGGTAGTTTTTGGGTTCAGGGGATTGCAAGGTCTCCTTTTGCTTTCCTGGAGGGAGGAAATTAGGATGTTTTGTTTCATCAAATGTGATTTGCCCTTCAGCTCTGCTTGTGGAGGTGTGAGAAACCTTTTCTACTCCGGCACCGTGATTCCTGTCTGCCAGCCCACGGCGCAGAGGCAGAGCCGGCGCTGGCCGCTCTGTGCATGTGTGTGTACATACATGTGTGCATGCGGGCGTGCATGTGTGTGCCTGTGGGCGGGGAGTAGGGAGAGGTCGTCCCCCTTGTGCCATGTTGGGGGACACAGGTCACATCCCCATGTGCCCTGGCAGGCATATGTGCCTGGCGATGCCCACCTGCCCAGTAGATGTGCCTGTGCCTGGAGAGCTGTGCAGATACCTCTGGCTGCTTGCATCTTTGGATGGGAATGCCCTTCCCCCCCCCTGCATTTCCTTCTCCTACATTTGTGAGCCCTGGCCCCGCCATGCTGTGCTAGGGCACCAACATCTGGGAATGCTCTGACCCTCCACTCGGTGGGATGACAGCAGCACCCTTTCAGGGCTCTCCCCATGTGTCCCTCCACTATGAGGCAGCTCCCTGGGTGGAGGCCAGGCTGTTGGATGCCTGGCAGACTCAGCAAGGGTTTGGAGGGCCTATTTTTGCAGCGCTCTGGGGCAAAAAGGAAACTGCACATGCTGCAGATTACTGGAACATTTAAAACATTTAGAAACAACCACCAGCAGTTACCCAGGCTAGGCTGAGCCGTTGACAGGCTGGCTGCCTCCAGACAGACGGACAGACAGACAGGCATCTTGGCACTCACATCTCCTGACATGGCGACCACAGCTGCCTGTTTCCCTGCTGGGTGCCAGGCTCACAAACTCACAGGTTCTCCTCCCACCTGCCATTGCCCACCCATATTCCCACTGTGGGTCAAGGGGAAATCACTCCCAGGGTAGGAAGCCCCCATCCTCCCTCACATCATCCCACCTCTCCTAGGGGTCCTGCCCCATACTGGGCTCCATGCCAAGGGGCCCCTTGGTGCCTCCCTCCCCCATGCCCAGCCCATCCCGTCAGCGGAAACCCACCGGAGCGTGGTGGGGCACATGACACCCCCGTCTTCGCCACCAGGGTGGCCTTGGCCCCTCCAGAGCTGCCATGTTGCTGGGGCCCCTTGGCCGCCGGGAGCCGGGGGCGAGGGGTGATGGGGGTGACAGGGGCAAGGCCCTGCAACCGCTCCCATGGGAGCCCCCTGCTACCCCCACCAGCCCGGCGCAGGGTGACGGAGAGGCAGCTCCGCTTCGTGGAGGCAGTGGCACCAAGGGGGCTGTCCCGCTGCCATGGGGAACCCAGGATGCGGCTGGGACTGGTGGGGCTGCCTGGGGCGGGCAGGCAGCTGCGATGAAGGGCGATGTCCTCCTCCATGGCGGTCAGCAGCAGGCTGCAAGCAGAGGTGTGAGAGCAGGGAGCTGGTAGTGCCAGACCGGGCTGGGGAGCCCAGGCCTTTCCCACTGTCAGAGATGTGGTGTCTCAGGGTGCAGACCTCCCTGGAACTGCCATCATCCACATGCTTGAGCCTCCACCTCCAGCCCTGTCCAGCCAGCCAGCCCGCCTCCAGCTGCGACAATGGGGCCCTTGTGGCCTGCATGGCACACTCCCACGCTGGGTTCCGTGGCTGCTCCTGTCCCTATCCCAGCACCTTCCTGACCTCCGCCACCAACAGCCCCACACCCTGGGCAGCCCTGCACCATGACCCCCTGCCCTGGTCCCATGGGGGGAGGTGGACTAGCAGTGCATACCTGCCACGTCAGCCCTGTGCTGCCTGCTCCCAAGGACAGCAGCTATGATTTAAAAAAAAATTAATTAAAATTTCTGAATATTTGAAATGTTTTCCCTTCCTCTCTATTTTATTCCCCCTCAAATGGCATATTCCAGTGCAACAATTTATATCCCACTGTGGAAGCTCAGTGGTCGTTTGCTGGGTGTTCATCCAAGTTGATGCTTCTTTCCCTTATTCCGATTTTCTTTTGCTTCTTCATTATTCTGATTGTTTCTTAATTTTGCCAGCTTTGGGGCATTTTCATGGTCAAGAGAACACCTATTGCAGGGATCAGCTTGCTACTCTACACTTTCCTTACTATAAAAGACATTGAAGGGCAACACAAGGAGGAAAGGAGAAAGGTGTTTTGGTGGGATAGAATGAGAACTAACATGGTTTGGTGGGCAAGTGGGAGCAAAGAAAAGGAGAGATGGGCACCCATAGCACCCACAGCATGGCAGGGGAGATACTTGCCTGCCTTCGGGTGGCCAAGGCTGAGGGAAGTGAAAGGGGAATCACTATCCAGTGACCCACAGCAAGCCATGGGGAATGCTGGTGGAAAGCAGGGCTCAGGGCAGTTTGAGTTCTCTGCTTCTTTAAGGGCAAAGAGACAGAGAAGTTAGAAAAGACCAACCTGATATTGTATAGTATTTCCAGCACTAAGTATCTTCTCTGATGCTTTATGCATTTTAATTCAGTATCTGTGACTATTTCCCTCTCCCCTGAGGTCTCTCTGCCTATACAGGTCCCAGAGAGGAGAAACAATCTCAGGTTCAGGCAGCATTTGCCTTTGGCTTAATTGTTCCCCGACAGCTCTACTGTAGCTGGCACAGGAACCAGGCAGATGAAGACCTACTCTGCTGTAAAGGAAACCTCATTGTGGACTGGTCCTTGCTGCCTGTCCAGAGCTGGAAGGAGGCAGCTCCAGGGGGGAACAACAGGAAAAATAAAGCGTCAGCCACACAGTTTGTCACACACTTTTATTCCACTGGGGAGGGCTTGATACTAATGGCCATAAAGTCTTTTATAGCCATGGAAAACACCTGGCCTAATGCCGAATGCATCAGTAAACAATGCAAAACACAAGCCAGAGGAGATGAATAATTAGTTTCTCTCTAGTCCATCCCCTGCCTGTTTGTTGTCTTCTTTTGCTCAGTTTCTATACCGAGTTGTGGGCAGAGTGTAAGTGAAAACAGGCAGGACAGCATGCAGAGGAAGACACGGAGGAGGGGAGAGGGGACCCCTGTGGGTGCATGCTCCCCTTCCAACAGGGGAAGTTTACCATGTCCCTGACTGCTCCAAGCCCCTCAGTTCCAGCATAGAGGTTTTAATTGCTGCCCCACGGCTCAGCTGTGTCTGTTTGCAGGGCAGTCCTACCTATGACAGAGTCAAGGTGAGGAAACAAGTTTCCAAGCTGGTGCTTAGAAATATGGCTGTGATGTGCCAGCGGGCAGGGGAGGGGGGCCATGCAGCCATGAGTGGCATGTCTGACCATGCAGCTCAGCCCCACAGCATTTCTCTTTCACAGCCCCAAGTCAACAAGGCACAAAAATTTACCTGTTTCAAGCTGCACCTGCTCTTTGAGTCTTTGCTTGCCAGGGTGAGTGTAATTTCAGGCACAGGAGTAATCCCACTCACTGCATTTCCCTGATGAGTGAGAGTCCCCAGTTAGGCTACTTGTATCATAGTCACTGTTATTTGGCTGAATGAAAGGACTCTTGATTTGTCCTCTGTCTGAAACAGAACCAGAAAGCTCCTGCTGGTGTGCCTGGTTTTGGTGTGGAGGAGAATGGTAATGCATTTGCAATCTGGTGTATGAAATATTCCAGGAAAACCCAGGATATTTGTAGAATGTCCTGACCTATTCCTTAGAGCTAAAAATTAGCTTTCATCCCCAGAGAATGACCAAGTTTCAGGACACACCTGCACTTTGAGCCTTTGCTTGACAGGGCAAGTGAAACTTTGGGCGCAGGAGTAATCCCGCTCAGTGCATTTCCCCACATCACTCACTCTAACCAGCCAATGAACTCTGATCCTTTCTTTGGGAATGGAGGACAAAACTTCCATTGATGGGTTTACAAGTGAGGCTGAGTGAAACGAGCTGTAGAAGATTTGGGCAGCTGGCCTGAAGAATTTCTACTGCTAAAAGGAGAACAGGGACACCACAATGGAAGGACAGTGGAGATGTGCGTCGTCAAGATACTGGCTGGCCCAGGGGATGGCCCAGGATGCACAGACGTGCACATGAGGTGGTGGCACTGGCTAACATACCTGGGATATACAGGAGTGGGGCACACAGGACCCCTCTGTTGCCAGAATGTTCACAGGTAGCACTGCTGCACCTACTGTATCCAAAGGGTGGGTGTTGTGGTGGGAGGAGAGGTAACACAACCTCCTGCCACAGGCTCAGAGCTCTCCCAAACCTCCCTGTGCACACTGAGCAATGCACTGGACTGGCAGGGAGGGAGAAGGTGTGCATGTCCCTCTTAACCCTGGTGTCACAGCTTCATCCAGCACTTTGGTGGCCAATCAGGCTCAGGACAGTGTAGGAAATCTATAAACACAGGATTTTGTGCCAGACCTACATTATACAGCTTGGGTCCAGAAAGCAGAGGTGGTATAACGGGCCCATGTAGATGGCAGGCTCAGTGTCCCTTCTCAGAGACATGCAGAGAAATACAGGGATGCTTCACAGCTTTGTTGGGGTGACAGTTAAAGGAGAGCCTATCTATGCCATAGGGCTCTGGAGCACAGGGTACTGAACAAGTGTGAGATGACTCCCAGACTATCCCATCTCACTCCACGACAGAGAAACAGAAGGTCAGGCAGATCAGGAGAAGCTTACATGATAAATCTGGCAGCACCCCT